TCGACTACCATCTTGTTGGCGCAGGAATTTTCCGTGGTGCTTGATACGGTACGTATCCCATTGTTGAAAAGGTACACCGTCAAGGACATTCCTGAAGGAGGTTCTATTCCGGAGATATGGTTTGAAACTGGATGAATCAGCCGCCGAATGGAGAGTGAACATACACAGGATGATGCCTGAAGAGACGTACGCGGACTATGTCGCAGCACTTAGAGACGCAACACAGTATGTGAATGCATGATATTGGTTCGATCTTACCGGAATCTAGACAAGACAATGAAGAAACTGGTGATACAGAGGCCAAAGCTAAATGTCGAAGAGATAGCGGTAGGTGCGTTGGAGCTACGGCACCGGAGTCGGGTTATGACCAAGTACCGGTGATTATAGTGAAGGACGTGATGGAGACTAAAATGTCGGCAGGCAAGGCAAACTCGTTGGACAAGATGTTGGAGTGTGTGGTGACGGATGTAGCTGAGCGAGACAGCGAACGTGCAGCCATTTACGCAGCCACGGTACAAGCAGCAAGGATAGCGGCATTTTTTGTGCATTCCGATGCCATCCACCGTCGAGTGGTGAGAAGGACATGCGTCAGTGCGAAGAAGGCGGTCAGCCTGAGACGGTTGTGGAGTTGGATGACAATCAGGAAGGATATTGTGGTGAGCCATTGGCGACTGCACATCGGGCGCAGAGCTGATACCCATTCCAGCCGTACGGGCACCACTAGAGGAGTCATGCTGAGCGAGGAAACCTCCGAGAACCCCGTGACAGCGAGCTACCATTTTCATCTTGTTTCTGATCACCATAGGGAGAAGCTCACTGAACCGTCAGTACGCGACCGTATTCTTAATAGTGCTGTAGCTGCTGTCGTTTATCGGTAATGCACCTGCTTTAAATTTAGTCTAATGTGTACAAGCTCGTTTCTCATACAATCATCTGAGTAGTAAAACAGTTCCTGAACGTTAAAGCTCGTTTTACCGAAAACTATAAAGGTTGATAATCACCGTTTTTTTGTCGCGCGCGGTCTCTCTCTCTCTCTCTCTCTCTCTCTCTCTCTCTCTCTCTCCCCGTACATTTGAATTGTGCCTTGTTGACCCGTATGGCCTAGGGACAGCGAACAAAACCAGGCGTAAAAAATTATTATTAGATGGAATTTGTCAGACATCTGGCAGACACAGCAAATCGCAATCAATTTGGAGGGACATTACAGTACTACTAAAGGTACAGTGTTATCTATCTAGATGCAGTCAAGCAGCAAGATAACGACTGAGGCGCATACTGATTCAAAGCAAAGAAGGTGTACTTATAGAGCTTGCATCGACTTGTGCATCTTCCGAAGCAGTTTACCCACCGTAGCCCAGCTCAGTTGGCCACAAGGTCGCTTTCGTGAATGTGTAGTTGTTTAATTCACATCAACACTTTCAGCACAGTTGAGAAACACTTGTGTAGCATCTTCGATGGTCTGGTCACCGTTTAGTGCGTTCTTCGAGGCAGCATCTTTTTCTATGTGATTCATTACGTACCGAAGTTCATTAAGCCGCTTCTGAAGCTTGCGGCTTGGCATATCTTGTCCTTCAAGCAAGCGAAACGGCGGCCGCTGCTTGAATTTATTACCGCACCGCCAAAGCATCCAGGCATGGCGAACAGAGCAATCGGGAATTTCAAAATTTTCAGCTACGCGGCGGAACCTTCCCCCAAAAATGAGCCAACGTGCGCTCAACTTTATTATTAGTGGGCTCGGTACGACTTTCCGGTGGTGTTGCCAGCCTCTGCACAAGGTCATCCACGCCATAATCACTGAGGCATTTCGTAATTGCTGCACTTAGACCATCGAAAGTGACCGTGCCTGCTCCAATTACCCTCTTTTCCAGCTCAGTGATAATGTCTTTCACTGTATCCATTCATGTTTCTTCAATTTTGGAAAGAGTTTCCAGCAGGCCTTCTTTTAACCACTTCATTTCACACAAAATCGACACGTGTGGTGGTACAGCAGTTGGACGGATTCATGCATCAGAGCTTCCATCTCCTGTCTGAAGCCGCTTGGTAAGAGAAGATAGCAACGGTGCATCTTGAAATAGAGGAGGCTGAAATGCTGGGTGTTTAGGTGATAAAGCTCTTGTCAAGTATGAATGGTGATAGGTCAGCGAGGCCAAACAGTACTCCGCAATAAACTCCAATCTTTCGGGTAGGCCCGGGAACATCAGAG